ACATTAGTAATTACATTTTTCTAATATTTAACACAGAAATTATGAAGCTTAAAATATCGAAATATCTATAAATACATTGTACAGTTAGATATGAGACTGTGAGACTTACTACAATACGGTACATAGTTCATAGTTTTGTTTCATTTAGGTATAATAAAATTATAAAAAATTTAAGTTTAATGCTTTTTCGTCAATTAATATTTATGAAAGTTCTCTTTAATGATTTGATTGAACGATTTTTTTATTTTTTTGTGGTGGAAGATCACTTATTACGAAAAATATGTCTCACTTTACCCCGGTGTCCACTACAGATAAATCATTACTTATTTCAAGTAATAGGATGTTGATGACTATTCCATTTTTTCCTTTGACCCTGTAAAATTCCATCTTGGCTAAAAATTCGTTTCGTGCGCTCTTTATTCAGACTATACCAAGTTTTTTTGACTATAATATAAACTTTAAATTAAAACTTTTGCTATTGTCAGTTAATTTATTTTACAATTTGTTTTTGTAATTTTTATTCTTCGGATACCCATTATCACACCTATACGGCTATACCTCTAAAATTAATTATTATTTTTAAATTACATTTTTTTCACTTATTTCAGTAGAATTTTGTAGTTTTTAAGTCATCAATACCGTTTTACCACTTTTGTTACCAGGGCTGTGAATTAGTTACATTTTCATGTTATTTTTTTGTTATCACTGTAAACAAATAGGGATTATTTCAAAATTTGTTTTCCCTGATTTTTTTTAAATTGTTAAATTTTTATAATAAATATACAATCTATACTAGGTAGAATAATAAGTATACGTGAAAAGAGACTTTTAAAAAAAACAGGAATACGTGATTAAGAAGCCACCCATAGTATTACTCTTTGCTTGAGAGGTAATTGTGAAATGATAAGGTACTAGGACACTATAGGATAGAGACGTTGTTTGAGTGAATTTAATGCAACAGATCTCTGCACCATCCCCTTTTCAGTCGACGGCAAGGAGCGTTAAGATATTTAAGTTACTAATTAATGGGTTATAATGGTTTGCCAAAGGTTAGAAAAATCGCTTGTAAAATATTACAGATTCTTCTTTCGTCGTTTTAACATGTAAATCATTGTGGAGTGTTAGATTTGCAATGTATGATGGAGCATTAGTAAGTTGAAGTAAAGTGATATTTTGATAAGTTTGGATTTTGTTTAGATCCAATTTTTTTGCCGCACCCCATAGTTGAAGACCGTAAGTCCATATTGGTTTTAAGAATGTTTTGTAGATTAGAAGTTTATTTTTTAAATTTGTTTTTTTCTAACAGTGTTGAGCATACAAGAACGAGAGTTTAAAATTAATTTTATGGATCTGGTGTGTGGGTTCCAGGTTAATCTTTTGTCAAGGGTGGGGTCTAAATATTTCACTGTATTAGGTATTTTATCCACTAAAACTGGTTGGCAGTGTCTCTGCTTTAAAGTAAATGTGGTGTGAATTGACTTACTATGGTTAAATTTAATTCTCAATTTTGTGTATCACAATGATATAAGATTAAGATTATGTGTTTGCAGATTGTCCGAGGCTATTAAGGAATTTTCATGGATTGAAATTATAGCTTTATCGTCATCCTAATCGGCAATAAGGGTATTTTCGATAACGGGTTGATATGAGGCATAGATGTTGAATAATAATTACCTTATAAGTACCCCTACAAATACCTTGGGGTACGTCTGCATTTATTATAGCCATTTGTGAGGTATAGGAACCAATGCAAATTTTAAAATATCGATCAGTTAGAAATTATTTGTTTGGAAAAAATAAGGAAGGGAGAGAAAGTTGCAAAGTTTGAAAAGCAGGTCGTCATGCCATACACGATCGAATGCCTGAGAAATTTCTACTTATTTCAAGTTTAAACACGAAACATTTTTTTTTCATATTTTTCCTGTTTTTAGAGTATAAAATCATGCATATTTATATTTCTTTAGTGCATACAATTCACAGCCTCGGTAATTATTTATTAGTAATTACTTTTACTTCCAATCATTCTTAATTATTTTAATCATTATTTTAAATGTTAACTATCTACAATCTTCAACTTTCATGTACTTTGTGACTCAACCAAATTTCCAACCTTACCAACTGTGTATTACGAATAATGCAGCCCATCACACCCATGCTCCCCTAGCTTAATTTAGTGGTAAACGGAAAAAAGTCCCAGTGGAAAATTCTCCGGTAAAATAGTCCCACGGAAAAAAAGTCTCCCGTTGCAGTATAAATAAAACGATATTTCCACTATACTTGTTATTTTATTGATAAAAGTTACACTTATACACAGTACCATACACAGGTACCTATACCTATCATGCGTATCCAATTTCGTATTAGAACGGAACGGTTGTACGCGCGTGTATAAGTGTTCAACCATAGAACTTCTTAAGTCAAACAAGGGAAATGATAAAATTGCACTAGACGGGTACATTTATACTATAAAAAAGACATGCCAAAGTATAATCCGATGGAAATTTTCCAAAAAATCTTCAATAAAATGTTCAGCAATGTTATTACCAATTTGAAAATTACAAAAATCATACGATTTTGTTTATATGCATTTAAAGTTCAAATATTGACAAAATACGTAATAGAATGACTAAAATTTGCAAATTTATTTTGAGTTAGAAATTTATAAAAAAATTGTCTTTTTAAAGCTAACTGACATACCGTCTTCGCTCATCATACTGAAGTTGAAAATCGATGCATTATTTCAAATACTTATCGTGTGCACAGATACACAAAAAAAAAATTAATACATTTAATCGCTCCTCTAGCTCAGAATCTAAAAATACTTTAACCTATGGGATATGAATAATAAGTTAGATAGTTCATTAGAACAGTTAGCAAACGTCGATACCTGGTTTATTGATGGCAACTTTGGTTTAGCACCCGAGCATTTTTTACAGCTATACGTCATTCGAATCCAAGTACCTAAATAACAATTTTATTACGCCAGTGTTTTGCTTACTTGAGCGAAAAACGGAAAAAACCTACGAAGAAATGTTTAAAATAATTTTGAATGAATGTAACAATCGCGAACTATACCCAGATCCATTATTAATTATTATACATTTATACTTCAATGTTGACTTTAAAATCGCAGTTCACAAAGCTGCCAAAACAGTTTTTGGTGAACACATTTTAATTCGTGAGTGCTTTTATTATTTATACCAAAGCGCTTACAGAAAAATACAAAACCTGGGCTTGAGTAAACGGTAAATTTTAAATAATATTATAATACATTTGTAAATTTTTTAAATAATATCATAAGACATATTTTACATATTTTTTTTTCCGTGAACTTTTTTTTACCGAGGTCTGTTCCACCGGGAATTTTTTTTCCTAATATCTAGTTTAGTACTGAAGTATTGTAGACCTGGGAGAGTTTACATGTTCACTTCAGGCAGTAGGTACTGGAGACTGGACTAGACCCGGGAGAAGCCGGCGGAATTAATACGTAGATATTATAAACGGTAGCCGACGGAGTCAATCCGGAGAGTTAACTATCGACTCTTTCGGACTTCGGCTTAATTCGTGATGTTGTGTGGGCACTGCGGAACAAATCATATACCTACAACTGAAGTTAAGTCTGAAAATATTGCGTTTTATTAAAAAAAAAAACCTGTACAGGACGCACATATCTTTTGTTCATGTATACTATGCTAACTGAATTTTCGAATCTTCAATCGACTGCGTCTTCTGCAAGCTGCAACTACCTTACTTTGGAAATCTCCACGGTTAGTATTATAATACATATATCTAATATTACATCAATATGATAAAACCAAAAATTGTTTATGATTTTCTCATTGAATTAAAGAAATGTGATTTAACAATTACCAGAATAGCTTATATTATAGAATGAAGTCTTAAAAATATTGAATTTTAAATTTTAAATTTAAATATTTAATTATGATCGAATGAAAAATTAAAAAATTATATATCAATGCCAGAAGTTTGAGTGTACTCCATTATTTTATTGACATTCGTTAACTATATACAATGTGTCAGTCGTCAATACTGAGTTATACGTGAATATCAATAATATACTATAACAAAAATAAATTAAAATAGTAAAATATAAACAATATATTTGGATAAAAGTTAATTCAACCTACAACTACCTATGATAATAGGTACTGAAACCAATAGAAAATAGTAACACAAACTTAGAAATAAAGGTAGAATACTTTACTATTGAATTCAGTCCATCTACTATCTACTCATTGACATGGTACCTACACTGAAAAACCTGATTTACAACAGAGCAACTTTCCCAGCTTTATAAAATAATGTAATGTTTGATAAATTACGGAGTCGCTTAATTCGGGGTTGGTTCACAAGCAGGCGTTACAGTAATATCCATATATTTTATTATTCATTCGTTATTCAATTCTTCAAACTCACCCCAATCCTTAGAACTTTTCGGGGGGGAATTTGAGCTTTTTGTGGTGGAGGGGTAAAATTTAAGTATTATAGTATAACTAAACATTTAAATATACTTAAAAAAAATTTTGAATTTTGAGGGACATGAGAACTTCTGTATACCTACTGTACAACCTACTCCTAGTAATATGATTACCAATTACCATACACTGTAAAGTACAAATTTCCCCGTAAACAATATACAAGGGCATAGGCATCATCAGAGTCGAAATTCTGGGTTTGCAAAAAAAATTATGTACAAAGTATTGCTTTATGTTTATTTGAAAAAAATTATATCATTAGTCATAACTGATTACTGGTATCTGCCAAATGCCAATTCTAAAGACTTATAATAAATTAATAATATATAATCTAAGGCCAATCCTCTGGAATTCATAAATATTTTTCGCGCCATTATGCACACACTAACGCGATTGTCAGCTGTTCATAATACAATATTTTCCTCCATGAAAATTGATTAAACTTATCGTGATATGTTGTTCCTCTCTGCGCCATGTCCTGCCAAACTATTGTACCAAATACCAATGTACCATCGATAATACTATACCTATTACCTTAGATCACATACAACATTGTAATTTCTCGCTAGTTACTTGTCTTGGTACAACACTTGTGTTATTCAAAATATTGAGTATTGAGCTATTTGTGATAGACCATAGACGTTCAACATTAATTTTGCTGCTACATGATATTATTGGTGTATTATTATGAATTAAAATATTCATAGCTTAATAACTGTATTGTCGCGGCCTCGAGTATGATTTGATAGTTTTAATAATGTTAGTTTCTTGTTCAACTAAATACGTATAAGTTGGGTTGTTTATTTATTTTCACATCGTTCATAGGATTTCTATTGCGAATGACTGATTTTCATTAGCTAAATATGTTATTAATGTTATAATATTATATTCGTGCAACAGACGTAAAAATGATAGAATATTCAGATTCAGAATTTGAAAAGAAGCTAATGCTTTTAAAAGACACTCAGGATGCTATTCAATCATTGTCTACATGGTGCCTGAAACGACACGAACATTACAAGAGCATTATCACTATCTGGTTAAAAGCTATTCGGAAGGTGAAGATCGAGAAACGTTTGACTTTATTTTATTTAGCCAACGATGTCATACAATACAGTAAGAAAAAGAATTACAAGTTTATTGATGGATGGGCAACTGCTATTCAAAAAGCTATCCCCTATGTGAGGTAAGTTGCTGGGTTGAACATTTAACTCCTCCCCCCCTCCCTTCCCCTGTTTGTATGTCACTGTACCTATTGTTTTAGAGAGAAGATTTTTGATTTAGGTTATTTCCATTATTTCAACCCGGTAGTTTCTGTGTTTAGGGTAATTGGAGATTTTGAATTGAAGATTGCAGGGAGTTATCTTGAGTTATTATTGTTGTATCGTTAGCAAATATCGTTAGTTGAGAATTTTGGGGGATTTGGAATACCTACCCCGAAGTTTAAACTATAAATATAATAAATAAATAAACATATTATAAGTGTTCCTATTTATTTCATATTTTATTTTCACTATTTTTTAGAGATGAAAAAATACAATCTAAAATTTCAAGAATTATTAAAATTTGGGAAGAACGTGGTGTATATGATGATAGTTATTTAGCTGATTTAACTGGTTTATTAACTACACCAATTCATAAATTAAAATTAGCTGATCCTGTACAAGAATTTCAAGTGAGTACTTTTTTAAAATATTCTATATTAATAATTTAACAAATTAATTCACATCATGTTATTTAAAACTTTTTATGTAAGTATAAGTATAATATAGAATATTTAACAAATTTACAACTTTACCATTTACCCATATATTGTAATATAATGCTATCATAAAATAATGAACAAATAATAATAATAATAATTAACCATGAGCATAAAATAATTCATAATATTCTTATACTATTTTGTTTTTTTTGACAAAACTCTTACAGGTACCTAGATGATGTTAAACTTAATTCTTGGGTTTTCAAAATATACTTACTTATTACATTCAATTTTAGCAAAATGTACCCCAATACTTTGTAGGACTTTATATACTTTATAAATTACAACATTTTCATTATGAGTAGCGAATTACTAATTTTTTAGATTTAAATGACAAATCAAAAATTATTAAAAATTGTTTAGGTATTATTATACAGGGTGTCCCATGATGATTCACCCATTAGCCTTAGAGGGGAACTCCCCCACCTGACAAAAACTGTTTTTTTGCTGTTATACCTACCTATAAATTAAAAAAATCATAAAATTGATGAAAAGTCAAAATTTTTAGAAAAATAAACCACAAAATTGCTGTCTTTAATTGTTTTAAAAATTAAAAAATAAATTTTTAACCTTCTTACCAAAAAAATTTAATTTAATTAAAAAATAAACTGTAGTCCTTGTCTCTGTGAGTCTAATAAAAAAAAAACAAATTCATGATATATTTATTATCTTAGGAGATGAGTAAATGGGTAAATCCTCACGGGACATGTATTTTTCTCTGAAAAGGATTCTGACATTTAGATAGTGTGTTTTCTCCTTTTTTTTTGCCTGAATTAAATGTAATGCTTGTTATAAATAGCTATGTTAAGTCTAACAATTTTAAAATATAAATATCATCAAAACGTTTTTGAGGTTCCTGAGATAATTTTCTCACCTTTAAATTTAATAATAGTTGATTCACTTAATATTTATACTAAAAATACAAAATTAGTTCTGCAAAATGCAAAATTGCTAAAGCAAAGACGACAAATGTAGGCTTGGATTTCTCTTAAAACAGTTTTAATAAATAAATACTATTGCTTCAATTTTTATATACCTATTGACATTTTTATAAAAATATTTTGCTACGCATGAAATTCTCAATATTATAAATTAAAAATCCTAATTAGAAATAAAATAATATTTTTGTTCTTACACAATCATGAGTTTAATGTACAGTCAACTTCAAACGAAATCATACCACCCCATGTATAAGTAACTTCAAAACTTATCACTCTTAATGTTTAATATATTATAACATTTTGTGTTTAAATAGAATCCTATTTCATTTTATGTATGTTGTACCCAGATGGTTGTCCGCTGAACTACTCACCTATATAGTTAATATTTTGTGTCGAGTTAATATTAACTTCTTATACAATGTAATATTATATTATATTAATTTTAAAACAGTTTTTACATACATTTTAAAAATGTAAACTTAAATTTTTTAAAGTTATACAAACTACGTACTGCGTATTGACTGCCTTCCACTTGATTATGCACCTGTTCTAGTAAAATTAAATATGGAGACGTTGAGTCCTAGAAGAAAAATTCTAATTTGGTTTTCTTATCAAAACTTTTGAGTAGGGAAGTTGACGCTCCAGATATGTTAGGGTGGGTTAATTTTAATGTTCCCAGTGATAATTTGCGCTACTTTTCTCCTTTCCTGGTCCCGTTCTGTGCAACAAATTACTTATATAATGAACCCATTTTGCGTATGATGACACTAGCTAATGGATCCAATAACATCTAAACATCTTCTTGTGTGTAATTATTTTGTATTACATTATTATCTGTTAATATTATGTATGTAATAGTGTATTATAATCTTGTTAATTATTAATGTTATATAAATGTCAAGGGCCTATCCCGTTTACTATTATAATAAATAATAAATAAATGTGTAAACTTATTAGTAAATAATCGTGCTAAATATATTATGATTCTTAGATACATGCATTAGCGGTTAAAATACGTTCTTGTGTTAAACTGGAACAGATTACAGACTTGAAGATGAAACATTTAAGAGAAGCTAATCTGCCTCTTACTAATAATGAAGCTATACAGAACATGTTAAAAGGTAATATTGTTGAACTGTGGCTTGGTGGCAGGGACCCAACATGTTTTCTATTGTTGTCTACAGAAATTTATAATTCATATAATTTAAGAAATTTAGTATATAATATTCCAAAAAACAAATGTTTATTATGTCTATTTGTTTTAAGACTGGCCCTTCTTGTACAAGCCACAGATTTATACTATTTAGCTATGTTTACAATTATAATAATGATATTGTATGTATTATTATAAAGTTTATATTATAGTAACTAGTGTTTTTTTTTTTTTAGATCGAACTCGAAGTCATGAGTTCCTGAATGAATTAAATGATGGTATGTCAAAAATTGAAAGTTACATTAAATGCCTTAAACGAGAAACTATTGATCGTGCTCAACTAATAGATTCTTTAGAAGTTGCTACATCTTATTATGATGAACAAAATGGCGAAGTTAAAACTGTTGCTCAAGTAAAATCAATAAATTTGTTTGTATGATATAATGATATAACAGAAAACTAATATAAGAAACAATTTCAGGCATATTTCAACTATACTAAAAGAGTAAAACTTTTAAAGAGTAAATTGGAATCCTTGGTTGGTTCTATGCCAACTGACAGTCCAATGCCTTCACCTGATATTAATGCACCGTCTCCTTCAACATCTTCAGTGTCTATTGAAGATTTAAACATACACAATATCAATTATGACACTGTATTAAACTCTGATAAATATATGATGAATTCTTCAATGGAAAACAGCATTAATGACACTGATATTTATGTGCCCACTACAGTTATCAATAATATTAAGTCATATATTACTCCTGAAACATATACTACTGTTCAAGGTATTTCAAACTTAATTTATTTAGACTAATTTATTTTTATTTATTTTTGATTTTTGGTTGTTATTTAGAACTGTACGACCCAGCTTCTGTGAGTTTCCCAGCAGTAGAAAATCAAGATCAACAATCATTAACCAGCCAGTTTCCATATGATGCTCCATCACCGCCTCCTGATGAAACTTTTGCATACTCGGCATTTCCCAATCAAACAAATGTATCATATACTAATGATGTACGTATATCTTTCATTTACTATACTGTAATAATATTTATAATTACTTTTATTTTACAGGTGAATAACCATAATACAAGTAGTTATGAAGCTTATGTACCTACTCCAATGTCATCTAGTCAGCAATTTATAACGTCTGAATTCTCTAATAATATGGTACCTCCTACTAATTCATCATCACTTATAAATGAAAATACTATATCAGTTTCTCATGTACCACAAACGGGTAATTTTAATTCATTATAATAGTTTTTCTTTAATATTTTTTGTCTTATTTTGTTCAATGTTTGAAAATGTTTGAAGGACAAAATAAGTTTCTTGGTTTTATTGTTTTGTATCAAATATTTGCAAAACACTCAAATCATGATAAGATTATTAATTATATCCAACATTTTCAGCTTGGGAAGTAACTGTAGATAGTGATTGGTCAACAAATGACACACCAGCATCACCGCCTTTTCATGAGAAAATCTCCTATCAAAACACCCCCATTATCAGTAAAACTGACGGAGGGCCAGGAATCGATCACTGTGTGTTAGCATCAAAAATAATAGATAGAGATGAACGAATTTCTCAAGAAATGATAACTAAAACTTCTGATATTGACCACAGAAACTTAATTAGTTTAACTCATTCTCCTCATATGAATTCATCAGTGGTATCTGTTGATGTTGATTACCGAGCATTTCCTGGTATTCCTATGCCACCATCACCACCTGCTTTGCTCATGGAAGCAGTCAGTAAACCACCAAAAGATAATGTAGAAAGTGTTGATATGGATTTGAGTGACGACGATGAAAAGCCTAAATCAAACCATGATCAAAAACATCCTGTACTCTTACCTCCGCCACTTCCACCACCAATGCCTTTTGGCTTTGACCAACAAAGTGTACCAGATATTACAAACCAATGGGAACAACCTTCCCAACCATGGAGTACTGATAGACCTGGTTTTAATGAAAGCCAATGGAATATAGATCAATCTGATCAATGGAAACATCCTAACCAGTGGGAACAAGAGCAGAGTGATTCAAACTTTGTAAATAATCAACCTCAACTTCAGTGGCCTCAACATGTTCAGAGAAACCAATCCAAAGAAGATTTTAGGCCAAAATGGAAGAGAGGAGTTAGTAATTGGCCAAGAGGCCCTAGAAATTTCATTCCACATTCTAGACCTACTGGTAGATGGAATCAGGGGCCACGTTTTGGACCGAGGAATCAACCTTGGTAAGTGAACTGTTTTAAGTTAGACTTAGACTGAAATGAAAAAATGTATATTTTTTTAAATTTAATAACACTAAGAATTGCTGTTGTTAACATCAAGAAACTACCACAATTTGTTTGAACATTTTTGTTTCATTGTTATGTATTTGTATACTAATAATTTAAGTTGATTATTTTTTACAAAAAGTAATGTTTATCAATTACATTAAAAAGGTTTTTTTATATATATTTGTTATTACTTTGACAATTGTATCATACCTGTCAGCACTTCAACTGACCATGAATCTCGTTTTTTCATTGTTTTATTTATTAATTACCCAAAATAAATTAATATTTTAATTAATATTACATATTTTGTTAGTTAAAATTCAAAATAAATGCATATTTTTATTTAATCAGAGTTATGAGCCTATTAAGTGCAATATATTCTTATAAACTTAAAAATGTATTTACTAATAATTAATATTATGTCCGACTATTCTGCAATTAGTGTGTTAAACAATTCATGTTAATATAAAAAACATTTTTTTTTAATTAATAAATGAAATGTAAAGTGTACATTGAAGTATTTGGTTTGTCAAGTGTTATCAATTACATTAAATAATGTGCTTAATATAATATTTCTTAATGTGTCTTTAATTAAACAAAATACTCATTACTGTGTTATTTTTAAATTTCATACTTTAAATAGAAAAGAATCAACTCTTGTAATTAAATATTAGTAATTGGGTGGTTATTTTTTTATATCTGAAAAATGTAAGGTAAGAAAATACCCAAAACAAACTTAGTTAGATTTATTAAATTTATTGATGAAAATAAAATTAATAATAATCTAACTTAAAAATATATTTATTAATTTAGGTACTTCTACAATTATAATGTCATATTACTTATTATATGACAATAAATAATATAAATTTTCTTGTTGAATAACTTGAAGATGTTTGCTTTAAATCTAGTAAATGATATTTTATAAAGAATTACAAATAATTTTAAATCTATTCTTTTACAAGTCATAATCAGTTACCATTTATCTAACTTGGTGGGACAAATTATAGATGCATAGGTACCAAATATAAGTACTGTTCAGTCTCAATGACACTCAAATCTCAAGGAGAATAAAAATAAATTTGACTTATGTATTTTTTGAGTTCTATACCTCTACACAACTTAACAACGCCTAAAGAGCTTGGAAAAAATTTGAGTTATCGAAACTTGACTGTATATTTATTTAAATATCTTTACAGTGATCAGAATTGAAATAATTAACATATTTTAATCATAATTTACTATCTTAAATATAATAAACGTATTTTACTCTTTTTTTTCATTATTTAACAATTGTTTCTTATAAATGATTCATATTACAGCCAGAAATATTGTTTAATTATACTCATTGAATTGCATTATTATGACATTAATTAGGCTTATGAAAACAGTTCTTTGTTATTTAATTAATGCGTATATTGTCATAATTGTTGTTTTATTTTATTTAGTATTTTATTATGTATATTTTTTCATGATAAATTGATTTTTTTTTAAATTACCAACTGCAGGATGAATATCTCATATTAATTGATGCACTAATTGTGTATTTTGTTTGTGTTCTAATGTTGTGTGTATTCAAAGTTCTTCATCTTATAATTTTCGTTGTTATGAAATACTTATTAGGTAACTGGACATCTACAATTTTGCCAAAAACGTGGAACTATGATTTTGACGAAGAATGAGTAATTGAAAGTGAGATCATTCATTTATAATCTATATAAATGTCTAGTTAATTTTTACATTTTTTAATTATTGTTTAATGTATATTTGTGTTACCAGTGATACATTTGTAGTACTATATACAAGCATAATTTGGTGGAAAAGCTCAGCCATCAGAATACCTTGGTTATTATTTGACTCCCTTCTTTAATTATGTATACTTAATACATGGCATATTTTTATATATACATGTTTATATTATTTTGTATTAATTTACATTACTATGTAAATCACTCATTATTGATAAAATTAATAGTAATTTCCATCTAAGGAAAGTTCTTAAATTGCGCCTCAATAATTAATATGATGTACTAATGATTAATGTACTTTTAAATATTGTTTATGACTTTTATTTCATTGTCTTGTTAGTATAACATAATATTCAGTGTATGATTATCTTACGGACATTATTGTTTAGTGTATCCTGTTGCTTACGTAGGTAATTTTGTTTTCAAATTATGAAAGTCAAAAATAATCATTAAGCGTAAGTTGAATAGCACCACTCAAATAATCAATATCAAGTCAGATACTTAATTAATTAATTTAAAAAACCTAACTTAAATTATTATGAAGATCAATATATAACAGTTAATCCCTACCTTCATAAATTGTATTATTATCATCTTATATGTTATCTCCGTCTTAATTATATATCAAATTTGCTTTCAGCAGAAATACTCTTGTGTTGTTAGATTTAATATTAGAGTCATATTATCAATCTTAAAGTTCAATACATTATGTGTTTGCACATGGCCTGTTTTTACAATATTTTAGTTTTTCCGTAGAATATGAGCATTTTCAATTTTTAATATTCTGTATGAGTATGTACTCATAAAATTTAACCTTAATAATGGCAATTAACAATTTATAATTACAATTTTTAAAAATAATTTATTATAAGTAGAATAATGTATGATGTAATATGTTCAATTTTGTTAAAATGAAGTAGAAGAAAGCAATTAATCAAAAACTCATTATTTTAATTAAAATCAATGAAATGTAAATTAATAGTTAACATATTATAACATAATTATATAACAAACTGCCCATTAGTATTATTATTAATATTTAAATATGAATTTTATAAATAAAAAGACTAAATGATGTTTTTATTAAATATTATTAACTTAATTGTTGGTTACGTTAATCTATGAGCAAGTTCACACAGAGTACAATATTACAATTTTAAAAACCATTTAAATAGTTGTGTATATGATGGGAAGCTGAGATTTTGTTTATTTTTCTATGTATGGACTCCGCGAAATATTTTTTACTGTAGAAAAAATAACTAATATCATAATTTAAAAAAATGACATTACACATTTATACAAATTGCAAATGATAATCATAAGAATTATATTTTATTATATATTAATTAAATCATGAAATATAGATATATTTATGGATGTACCTATGTATTATGTTTATATGTGTTCTGTAATTATTATACAAACTTTGTTTAAACTTGCTTGTTTTTGTTTACCTAAAACTACTTAAGTACTTGCTTTCCATGCAAAATACAATTTGAATTCATTGATATGTATATTGATGTATTTAAAGGAGCAGATGATGTGGATTGTCAACTGACTTGTAACCAATGTCCATTTTTAAATATTTTTTTGTTTCGACTATGTAGTAAATGTATATTTAATATTCAGTAATGTTATATATTTATTTATGTTTCATTTCTGATAAATGATCTTTTAAAAAATTGTTTCAAGTTAACATTGTTTGTATTTTTCAATATTTCCAATAGTTGTGTAATGTCAACAATCTTTAAATTTAAATTTTATATTGACATAGTCTATAATATATATACCATACTATAATAATACTTATTTAATAACCTTTTAATATGGTACCTTACAAAAATAAGAATATTTTATTTTATTCTAAAGCTAATACCAACAAATAATCATATAACCTACAGGTGTAACGCGAAGGCAAATGAAATAACTTTTGTTCCATTCAATATTTTTTTTTCTTTTAAATTTATCGATCTGTGTGCTATATGTATATTATAACATTTTTATACTTTAAATAAAGAAAAAAATTTGAAAATTTCAATATAGACAATTTGTAATTCCGATTTTTATAGAACTTTTTATGGTAATCAATTTGTTAATATTCTATGATGTTTTTAATTAAAAAAATTTTTGAAGGAATTAATTTTAAGACTAATAACTTTTAAAAAGTATTTCTAAATATTTTAACATGAACCAATTTACCACTGGATCAACTTTACTTAACAAAAATAATGAGATTTCTAATAATTTGTAATTTACGAATTGGCTATTGCCTTTTTGAATTTTTCAAAAAAAAATTATATCATTTACAAATTTTTGTTTTCAGTTTTAAAGTAACGTACCTACCCTCTAAACATATTTACAACATTATGCATAGGTATTTCTTTATAAAACAACAATGTATTTAACTGATTCAATATTTTATTTTAAATAAATATGTACATTATTACATTTTAAGATTTTATGCCACTTTTCCTGTAGTTTTATGGTACTTTAATAAGTTTCTCTGTCTCACACACTACATATTTTACCATTTTCATAATTATGTGTATTCTGTATTCATCTTCACAACTATTCATCAGTAACAATAATATAATGCATACAGTGAGTTTTTTTTTAATTGACCAAAAAATTGTATATTTGAGAAAATATTATTAGTTTTTGTGTTGTTTATTTTAACAATGTATTAAAATAGGTACCTACCATTTTCTGAAAATAATGATAGGTAGGTACCCAAGTTATAATATTTCATAGTTCAATATGAATCTGGTATAATTTTAAAATTCTATAAACTTAGTTATTTATAATATAATTTAAAATAATTCTCTCTTCTCCCTCATGATTAATAACGAGTAATTTAAATAATACATATGAAGTACCTAACAATAACAATATTAGTCGGTATCTGATAATTATATTTAATAATTAATACAAATCTAGGTATAGAATTTAATTATTTATTTAACATTATTTTGTATATAATAAAATAATTACTTACAATAAATATTGATGTTGTGAATGTAAATATAATGATTAAACAAACAATCATAAACTAATTTATAACAGTATTGTATATTTTGTTTTCAGATTATGTAACACTAAAAAACGACCAAAATACAAAATTGAAAACCAGTTATTTGTCTTAAAATAACATTCTATTCATTTGTAAGTAATTTATAACTATACAACTACATACCTTCATGTTAAAATTAAATAGTACCTAACTATCTAGATTTAATATTTTTATAAGGTTATTGGTGTATACATTATAACTTATAACTTATAATGTAATATAACATTAGTTATAATGTTTTTTTGTTCAAAAAAATAGCTGTGACATTATTTTATTGATCAATATTTAATTATATTTAATTTATTTTAGACTAATACCTAGGTACACTTTAATTTTTAAACTCGCTTGCTCAGGGATGGTATAAAATTTAGAAAATAGCCCATTATTTATTAGTTATTACTTTCCCCTTGCTTAGGTTTTCTGATAAATTCTTTTCAACATTTAATAATTTCTTAAATATTTTAGTTGCTTACTCTTACTATACTTCAGAAATATTATACCAACTATAGAAAATATAGTTTAAAAAATAATTTTTTCATGACAAAATATAAATATAACTATAGAGCACTAAATAGGTAGGTATATAGGTATCATATTTATTAGGTATTGCACAATATTATACCTTATATCTGGTTATCTGGTTTAATTTACTAGTACTTATGAGTTTTTAATTCTTTGACTTTATGAATGAATATCAATAATAATACCTACGACCTACCTACACAATTAAAAATGTATTTTATAACATCAATTAAGTTAAAAAGTATGCTATACATATTACATTTTAATTGTATAGGTACATTTTTATTTATACAATTATATGTATGTGTGTTTAGTACCTATATTATGTTATATTATAATGCTTATAAGGCTGTCATAATATACTCGTATTTAATTTTATCTCGTGTTTTTGATGATAAAACTTCTAAACACAAATTACGTGCATGAGATACAAAATAATCTCATTTATCATGTAACAATGTTATAGATAGGTATTCATTATTCAGTGACCTACATATTGTACTATTATTATATTTTAAATGAGGTAGACATGTTTATCTGATGTCTTGTTGAATGTACAAATAAGATGACTGCAGAGTTTCATTCTATGTAGGTACCTATGAACTTCCTCTTCAAAAGTTTATGTTCTGAAGTATTTAAGTTGGGCTCATATTCTTACGCTTGTTTAAAAAAAATATGGTCAAAAAACGAAACTAAAATACTATATACCTAATTATTTATAACATGAAACATGATAAAAAAAAAAAAACATTCAAAGCAATATTTAAAGACCAGCAAAGACTGCTGTATAGAAGGTTGGTTTCTAGTGTACCTATCTTGATACTGAGTACCTGTTTTTTTTTATAGGTCACTGTAATGGATGTGTTAAAAACTTTGATTTGATTTGATAAATCATTGTACATAGTTACATAAAATAATTTTGAGCAGATCCAGTCTTGTCACTTGTCAGCATATATTTTTAAGGATAGGTACTTTTTTGTACTGTTATTAGTAATTATTAATTTATTATTGGCAGTATTGTTATTTGTTAGACAATGGACAACATAGTATTAGTAGGTAATAGCAATAATAGTTACATATTAATACATTATTAGTATGTTTGACTAAATTTTGCCTAACACCACATACCTACATATATAATATTATTTATGATTGAAGTCAATAAGTAGGTACCTAACGCTTAATAATAATGGTGGGGGGATTGTGGGAATAGGTTCGGGTGATAGGGTCTACAAGAGGAGTGTCAAGTGATTTGGATACGGAGGTCAGATCCATCATAGATACTTTTAAGTCCCTTTGGAAAGTCAATAAAAATATATATTTAGTCCTAAATTATAGCGTAAAAAATGTATTTACTTTCGATATTTTAGTATCATTGGTAAATAATGGTAAATTACGTGGTGGGCACTGGGTGGTGAGTACTGGAGGGTAAACATACTATTTTCCCATCAATATAATAATCCTATTATTATTATAATTTGTATATCTTTAGTTTGTCTTATAATGTAACTTTTGTTTTACTGTAAAAAGTAAAAATTACATTTAATCTAATTTTAAGCTGTCTAAATTATAGTCTCATAGCATCAAACCTAGTCCCCTTAATCCGAGCCTAAATTGAAGTAGGGTGTAGGGTGTATAAAATATTTTAAGCTCATGTAACTAACAAAGTACTTAAATTTTAAATTATTTATATGGGATTGATATTGTGTAGCTTTTTGCCATAGATATACAACTACCTATACGTTTTTTTTCGTTCTATTTTTTTTTTCGATAAGGTAGGTAATGTAGGACACAATGTCAGATAATTTCATAATACCTAAATATTATTAAATAACCTGCAGATTGTAATTCATACTCCAACATTAAAAAAAAAAAAACGATTAATTTATGTTCATAATAAAAATGTATAATATAACTAATATCAAAATTTTAAAAACCATGTATGGTTGCAGTAGAACGACAACACGCGTGTAAAAAATGAAAAACATAAATAACCAAATCATTCTCGACTGTAAATATACGTTTGCGGGACGTTAAAGAAAAGTGTATTATTAGCTATCTTCCCTTTTGAATAAAATTATTATTTTTCAACTTGAAATATTATTATTTTCTTATAAAGCAATTAAATGTTCTGTGACGTAAAATATATAATGAATTATAATTTATTTGATGCGTCAGATTGTAAAAAAAATATTTTAGACACCATGTATTATGTATATATATATTAAAATACACTAATAA